CCGTTGCACCAAGTACCAAGTACCAAGTAATAATGCCTACCTATGAAATAAAGATTATTTTGATTTTGATTCTGGGTATCGTTTACGGGGTATATGGGGGTGCTTATTACGAATATAGTACTTATTTCTAAATCCAAGATGGCGGACACAATATAAAAAAAATGCAATATGGGTATCCTTTTCGAGGTATTTGGGGATGCTCATTATGAATACGGCACTGATTTCTAAATCCAAGATGGCGGGTGCGATTTTTGGAACAATGGCAAGTTGGGAATCATTTTCGAGATATTTGGGGGTGCTCATTATGAATATAGCACTTATTTGTAAATCCAAGATAGCGGACACGATTTTTCAAAAAATGCCTTATGGGTATCCTTTTCGAGATATTTGGGGATGTTCAATACGAATATGGCACTCATTTCTAAATCTAAGAGAGCAGACACGACAGTTCAAACAAAAGCAATATTCGTAATGAGCACCCCCAAATACCTCGAAAACGATACCCAACTTGCCATTATTTGAAAAATCGTGCCCGCCATCTTGGATTTACAAATAGTGCCATATTCACATTGAGCACTCCCAAATACCTCGAAAATGATACACATATAGCATTTTTTGGAAAAATCGTGCCCACCATCTTGGATTTAGAAATGAGTGCCATATTTGTATTGAGCACCCCCAAATACCTCGAAAATGATACCCATATTGCATTTATTTGAAAACTCGTGTCCGCCATCTTGGATTTAGAAATAAATGGTATATTTGTAATGAGCACCCCCAAATACATTGAACACGATACCCAACTTGCAATTATTCGAAAAATCGTGCCCGCCATCTTGGATTTAGAAATGAGTGCCATATTAGTAATGAGCACCTCGAATACCTCAAAAATGACTGCAATATTGCATTTATTTGAAAAGTCGTGTCCGTCATCGTGTATTCAGATATAAATGCCATTTCCATAAGGATTACCAAAAATAAATTTTTGAAAATTCTTGTCACTTGACATTGTCGATCGACAAAACCGAGCATATCTGTAGGCACCTTTAACTTAATGATGAGTTACGCAAGATACAATTTTCCCACTTTTGAGGGAGATGTTATTCCATGGTATCATTATTTGTATATTTGTGTGCGTGCCGACGAGCGTAGATACAAGTTGCTTACGCCTACATGAATTTGGTTTTTGCCTCACTTGTGACAGTTCGTTTGATATGAAACTATCATTCTATGCGTTATTATTCTAAGTACATATGTATACATTTTTCGCGTTTTCGACTGGTGTTTATCAACGATAACGGTCCAGCGCGTCCTGAAGTGTCGCAACTAGAGATGAGTTTAACTGCTATATTCGCATAGCACGCTAAATGCTAAATGATAAATTTTTATAGCGTGCTATTTAAAGTACTAATTTTTAGAACTTCAAGGTCGTGTGATAATGTAACGAATGGAAAGAAACGTGAAATAGTTATAATGATGTGCGCTAACTTGTTAAGTACAGGATCTATGGTCTACCTATAGAATAGTTTACAGTTTTTTATGGTTACTTACGGACCGACTTCATTTGTTTTGTAACTATTACATAATATGGTGGTCACAGGTTATAGACTATAAATACATGAGCTTTCCTTCATACTTTAACAACTTACTATTTACAATTTGCACAAAACTTTACACTGGTTATTTACGGTAAATTACACTCACAATAATTAATAATAACGCACACACTCATACTTTTGTATACAAATATTACAAAGACTTATTAATTAAACATACGCTAAACTAACTAAATTATTCCAAGTACTTAGTTATATCTTAATTTAAATCGCTTCACCAGACGAAATTTTGCTAACGTTCCACCATTAGCTCAAAATCGTATTAAAACGTAACCAAAATTATAATTTATAACATAACTACATTTATAATACTTACTAAGTGCTAAATATAGCATTAGCGCTTAGCGTACTCAAACGTGAAATTTAACATCAATAAACCAATCAGCTATTTCGCGTTTCGCACCAAACGTTAAATGCTACAAATAATATGTGAAAGTATTTCACGTTACAACGGTTTCAACCAATGACAAGAGCCGTAATTTTCATCTATGAAATATTAAGGAGATATCTCAGAACGAATCTACTCTCGATTTCCGTCCGACATCCGTCCGAAACAATTACTGTCAAATAAGTAATAAAATAATGGACAAAATTAAAAGACAAATATCAAGAATGAAGCTTCATTCGCATCACGCGTCGTTTCATTTGGTCAAGTATTGCTTATTTGGCAATAATTGTTTCGGACGGATGTCGGACGGAGATCGAGAGTAGACCCCCTGGATGTGGAAAAAGTAAACGAGTAATCAACGGCCTGCAAAAACTATAATACATGGAGGAGATTTTTGTGCACTTTTATGGGATACACCTTGGTCAATTTCTGCAGAAAGTAAAAAATGTTCGAAATTCAAATAAACAAGATGGCCGCCATACAAATTTCGAAGCCCTCTATCACGGAATCTATTAGAGATAGGTAGGAGGTGCTGGAAGGAATCACAGAGGGTAATAGTGGTCAACTGCCTGTGTGGTAAAAAATTCAAGATGACGATTACAAAATGGTGACTAAAGAAAAACTTGCTTCGATGCGGCTGAAAAGTGGCATGAGAGGCTTCTAGAAGTGCCAAATAATAATTTGTGCTCGAAATTGGTTTTTCGCCATTTTCAAATATGGCCGCCATACAATCGTTTGTTGGCAGTAGAAAAAAATTTGTTCTGATCCCTTCCAAAATGGTCATGTGGGAGCCTCTAGGAGTGCTCGATAATAATTTGTGATTAACATTAATTTTTTTTTTTTGTGTTTAATAATAACTTCCGGTCAAAATTTATTTTTTGCCATTTTTCAATATGGCTGCCTTACAAACTTTTTTAGCGGTTGATAAAATTTTGCTCTAATTCTACTAAATAGTAGTAGAAATAATGTCTTATTTACTTATACAACTTATAGTGTTGTTGTATCTCGACCGTCTGTCTGTTAGATTCTTTTTTATTGGAAGCTATGCCAAAAAGAGAAGTATTTAGGGAAAAAATGCCAGACAATCACTTAAAATTTGTGGTCTCAAACTAGGGAATTTCCTGTACTATGAGTACAAGAGTAACAATAACTCTGAAGGCAATACCCAGAATACCCTGACCAGGACCAACTTGAAAATGTTATTTTCATAAATTGGCTCAAATAAGGCATCGAATCTGGAACCTCCTCATCAAGCGACCATAGCACTTAATCACTGTGCCAACGAAGTGCATAAGCACAACCTGTAATCTGAAACCGACCACGCGCCGCAGGCCGAGCCCGAGGACTCGTATATTATATTAACCTTCTCTAGTCGCAGCGGCACGTAAGTGAATTTCACTTACTTTGGGCACGCGAAGTACGTACACTTGCGGCGTCTATCTAGATATATATTATGTCTATGAGCATAAGATTAACTTACGTTATACGCAGTGTTGCCAGATTATGCTATTTTTCGCCATGTAGGCTACTTCGAGCGGTCGCGCGGCGACTAAAAAATTGATCGGCGACTCGGCGATATTTAGGCTGTTTGAAATAGGAAAAAGCGATTTTAGGTTACTTAATAAAATGTCTGGGGAATTACATGGGGATTTTGTGGGGAATAGAGATATAAAATAAATAACTCATTAGGGAGTTCATATTCCCCGGCAGCAAGCAGAATTGTTTTCCTTGATTTTTAGTGATTTTATGGCTTGGGCGAATATCGGCTACTTAACACATAAATTGGCGAATTAATTTTGTAGAAATCTGGCAACACTGATTATACGTATTGTAAGCCACAGACTTAGTGAACTACGTTCAGACTGCTCACTGTAGTACTTTTTTTTCAGTAGTAAGAATTATTTTTAATCTGTGATACTAATGTCGACTGACATTCCATTTTTTTTTTAATAGGTAGACGATATTGTCTTGAAAAGGAGCAGAACGTATACATCCAAACTTAAAAAAAAAAGTTGGTTAGGGGTTCCAGTTCATTTATATAAAATAATACGATAAAATAAAATAAATAAAACAACTCAATAAGGCGTTTATTTTTTAATTTCTTTTTAAATTTTTCTAATGCTTTGTTTTGCATTGGAGGTAGAATGCGGTTTGCTAACCTGACTATGTCCGTGCCTTTTAAAATTTTATTTATGGAACTGCACCAATTCATAATTGTAAATCGAACAGTGAAAGCAATAAAACTATTAAGTAGAATAGTTTTATGTTCGGCACAGTTTATGAAATCAAATGAATACTTGGACAAAATATTCGCTGTAATATTATATGCAATATTCGCTTTATTTGCGTTGCGTTCCAAGTATTCATTTGTTTCTCTGATTACTGTACCGAAACACGTTACTGCTCCTTCGGATGGGTATTTTAGTCGTTTTTCATACGTTGTATACTCCCTGCGACTTATCCAGTCGTGAATACGCGTTTGATTACTTGTTAAATTTTTTAGGCATAAGTCACAGTTTATTTTTAATTTATTTAAAATTTTCCTTACTACCCATCCAGCAGTGTAGGCCCGAGAGTGAACATTGAGACGTTCTCGACGGGCCTGGTCTACAATTGTTTCAACGCTTTCAGTCCTAGGATGATCAGGCTCAATATTTTCTTTTTGTTCTTCGAATAATGATTGTAAATTGAACACTTGGTCCGCCGGATCATCCTCACAATTAAAAGTTTCATTATGGAATTTAATAATCCTAGTTATTAGTAATGATTTAAAGGTGCAGTTAAAGCTGTGGCAGTTTGGGTCATTATTTCTATAATTATAGGCCCTAACTTGACCGAAAAAATTCTCTATTGGATCGGAGTTAAAATATCTAGGCCTCATTATTGTAATCCCTTTACTTTGGAAAAACTGCCACAGCTTCATATAACTTTTTAAAGTTATGACAAAGTTTTTCAATGACGGCACGGACTTTTCGTGTCCTTTCGCATCGACATACTTGGTTTCTTCCAATTTTTTTATTGATTCCCTCCAAAATTCGTGATGAGGTGATTTTTCCGTTACTGCTGTTCTTAATATTTCTCCTTTTCTTTTTGACAGTATTGCAGCTCCATTGACGCTGTCAAACAATTTGTCGAAGAACAAAACAGTGTCTGCAGTGTTTTGTAAAGTGTTACTGACTGGTCTGCCATCTGCATAGTGAGCTGAAAAATAACCCTTTATTAATATATCTAATGAGTAGTAAATAATTAAAATCAATAGCAACCTCTATCGAAATTCACCAGTAAATTTTTGAGTAAAAACGCGTGTGTTCCTCAACTTGACATTGGCGAAATCATCAATTACTTCAATGCGGCCATAACATTTAAAAGAAGAAGAACCTGGGATTTTTTTTTACATTTAAGATCATTCATTTATTATCCATGTTCTTTCCAAATAACAAAATTCATACAGGGTACAATATTTAATGAAGATTAATGATTTGGATGTTTGTTAGAAAAACTATGTTACCATTCTCTTCCCTTTCTTCTAACAGAAAATTAACATGCATCTTTTTGAAATTAAATTGAGTACAAATTAATAAATAAAGATAGTCTAACAGCTAATATAAGCTAATATATAAATGTAAAAAAAACCATGTTTAGAGCCTGAACTGAACAGTGTAATAAGAATAGACATAGGATTCTACTTACAAAACTTTGCTGTATATGACAATGCTGCAGACACAGTTTTGCTGAATACTTTCACGCAATTTTTTACCTGGAAATAAAAACACAATGCATTTGAACATACTAGTACATATTAGTAAAAAGAGCAGAGTAGAATAGCACTCATGACTTTCAAATCCAATTCCACACATAACTTCCAAAATACACTATTGCTGAAATGCGGATCTAGGTAAACCATTCGGGCACAATGAATAACGAACTTGATGAACGATTATTTATTTATTTTATTTATTTTATTTTATTTATTTATTTGCATATTAGTAAACCTTTATTAAATGATTAAATGAACGTCTTAAGCCATGGCTTAATTCATACATAACATACAGTCGCATGTTATGTATATTTGGCTAAATGCTTTCTTATGAATGAAATATTGTTGTTTTTAAAATTTAAAATAAACTCACCTTCATCTTTTTAATCTTTTCTGGAATAACATGTTGATCGTTTAACTTATGTAGGAGTCTAGCTTCTGTGTGGTTGCAGTCTGTTTCATATACATCCACAATATCACGCCATTTGGAGATCTTTCCATTTGCAAGAATATCTTTGTTTAAAAAGTTGTTTCTTAAACCCTTTATCAGATGTGGTGGATCATAAATAATATGAAGATTCACTCCACTTATAATGACTGTGCCATCTAAAAAACACAAAACAAAATAAATTGAGAAATGACCAAAGAATACAAATCAATAATAAAAAAATTAGAAATATTCATAAATATTTTCAAACAAATGATTATAAAAAAGGTACAAAATGTGTATGTGTACACATAATTGGACTACTAATATAAATTAAGTACTTACTTGGTACTTGGTACTTGGTGTAACGGGCTGGTGTAAATTAAGTATGTTAGTTATGGAAATTGTTAAAAATGTTAAAATTTGCCCTTAGACTTAAAAATAAAATGGGATCATAAAGCTTCATTAACAAGCATGCATCTTGAAAAATAGTGTTTACTTCTGTTCCTTGACATCATAGGAAAAGAATGAAAAAGTATACAGACAGCAAAATTAGACTAACCTGGTTCTTGATTTGAAATTAATTGTTCATGTGCTCTATCTTCTTTAAAACCTTTTAAAGTCGATTGAAACGCCGCACCTTGATCACAAATCAAAGCAATCGGCTGCAATCCACATCCAGTCACAGCCGAAACAACATCCCTTAAAATTTCTTTCAATTCTGCGCTTTTGGTAGCTCCTTGACAGAAATAGTATGCCACAGGTTGCTGCCATTTGAACACAGCACCTCTTATCATGAATACCAGAGCGTGGTCTGCATAATCGTTTTTCTTTTCTTTAAGTTCCACCAAGACATTGATTAAGTCTCTATTTTTATCAAAAGTTAACATACTTTCTAATGATATCTCATCAAATAGGATCGAACACATCTTCTTTTTATCATCCCAGGTTTCAATCTAAAAACAATGTATTTGCTTAAACTTTGCTGTAGCACATAAGTAATACTAATATGTAGATAAAAATGCATGTTACCAACCTCCTTCTTCATCAATTTGAATACTTGCAGACTGATCCCTGTATGAATATTTAGTTTTGCCACCATTTTATTAAGTGTGTACCTTGAGGGCAATATAAAAATTTTTTGCAAGAATTTATAACATTTTGGGCTCTGCTTCATAATCGATAAACTGATTATTTTTTCTTCGGTTGTGAATCGCCTACCTTTCTTGGTTCTTGTACAAAGATTAATTTGCATTCTCATAAGCTTTTTTGCATAAGGATTCATTTTATTTGTTAATTTTTCGAACAACATTTTCTTATTAAACTGAAGGGCTCTCTTAGCTCTTCGATGAAAATCGGCCTGCTGTTTAGACTTTTTGTATTCTTTATAAATACTTTTGCATGTTGGTGACAAATCTTTTACTTTCGTGATTAAACGTCTCCTCATAGGTTTCGGATCCTTAGCAATTCTGACTGTATCCAAGCCTGGAAAACACAAAAGTGAATGATGAAGTCAAGTACTATGGAATGTAAAACATTATAACAATATGCAGCTGCACACTTACATATTATGTTGTATGTTACAAGTTTGTTGAATGAGCAGTTGCAAAGAGAAAAACCAAACATTTATTTTCGACTATACATAAGGTTATTAGAAGAATATACTAGGTTACATAATACAAAGAAAATTAATGTCTGAACTGGGAACAAACTCAGGACCTCTGCATATCCAGCATGGAGTAAATAAACGTTCATTGCAAACATATTCATGTGGTAATAATACAACAATAATAACTCAAAATTACATACCAGAGGCTTGAAATGCTTCATCCATCACTGGTTCAATGATTACAGGATTAACTGAAAAATAATTAGGTACTGTTGAGAAACAAGACGTTTCCATCATATAAAACAGATAGATGATGTTTATAAAATAGATCACAATAAACATACATAATTAACATCTACAATAAACGAGGTATTGTGGGAGAGATTATAGCACCATTTGTCCACACTCACTGATGGTCTATAAGTACAAGTTGCTTCAGAATTGTGTAAAAAATGAAAAGTTGACACACCGTTAAAACCTTAACTATCCCTTATAACTTGAGTCCAACAAAAAAATTCCATTACCTAAGTCCTGTTTAGGCGGTGGAATTTGCGATGGGCCAGGCACATTCTGAGACTCACTGGAGCTAGAGGCAATTACTTCTGAAACGTGAGAAATTACACACTATAATTTTATGCAAGTCTCTCCTGTAGGTTTTTGGTATTCTGTGTGTTTATGAGTGAGAGTTAAATAAATGTGATAGGTGATAGTTGAAAATAATAACTTGTTATTTATTTGCAACAAGCATTATGTATACT